GGGTGGGGGTGGAGGTCATGAAGAGTTCTTATGTAACCATCTTTTCTCGTTTTCTCGGGTAGGGTATCGCTGTTACCATCAGTTCTTGACAGTGTAGCTTAGGTCAAAATGTTGCGGTTAGGCAAAACAGTCACAGCATGCAGCCCTCCCAGGAAGGGCTGCAGCATCAGCTCTTTCTGTGCTCTTGTCCACTGCTACTTCAGCAGTCTGTCCCATTTGACTCCTTAGCTTAAGGGGTCATCGTGAGGACACCCAGATCCCCACAATAAAGATAATGCTTTTATGACTTTTACTTAAAACATTGATGGTTCTTAAATATTTTGTTTTCCAGAAGTAAGGAAAAATTCTCTCTTATGCTATCTATAACTTATAGCAAATTGGTAAATATACTTTTCTGGACAAAGATAGAGGCATGGGGCTGGTCCATGTGCTACCGCCCTCCAAGGCAGCCCTTGTACACAGCCATGGCTGAAGGCCTGCCATGTTGGGTCTGTGGCACCGGGGGACAGTGGCAGCAGCTGCTTTGGATGGAGGGGGACAGACTCCAGCAATGACGTGGTGACTCACAGGGGAGCCGGGAGGTGCAAGGCCCTGCTCCACAGCCCTCCCAGGGGAGCTGGGGTGGGCAACGGGACAACAGGGCTCATGTCCTCTTCAGACATGATGAGGCCCAAGAACTCTCCTTGGATGCTCCAAACGAGAGAGACGGTAACATGGGGGATGGCCTCCTTGTCCAGGGCGAGCCACGGGGGCGGTTCTGCATCCAAGTGCTGCACAGCCTCAGAGTGTCAGAGCGTCAGAGCGGGAGGGGACCTCAGGGATCGTCACCTCTGACCTCACTTTTAAAAGACCAAGAAACCAAAAGTCTGAGGCACTTGATTGAGGTCACACAGAGGAAGCAGCACAGCCAGGCTCGGGGCCCTGCCTCCCTCCCCAGAGCCCCGACCATGACACTGTGTTGAGCGTTTGTGTAACTGTGTGTGCAGTCGACTTTTTTGTCTTTTAGGGGAGGAGACTGCAATTGTTATTTGCCATGCATCATCACAGCCTCTCAAAGTCAAAGAAATAGGAAACTTTGAGAAGAATGCAGCCGTTGCCCAAGAGTCACTGAGTTTCCATGGATGTTGTATCCAAGTTAGAAGCCACCACGCTGAGATGAGCTGGAGGCAACAGCTCGAGCTCTGCACAGACACAGAGGTCCTGGTGTGTGGGAGTGCATGTGTGTGTGAGCATGACAGCGTGTGTGTCTGTGCATGTGCGCGTGCGTGTGCATATGTGTGAGTATGTGTGTGAGTATGGGAGCGTGTGTGTGAGTGTGCACATGTGTGTGCATGTGTGTGAGCATGTGTGTGAGCATGTGTGTGCATGTGTAAATGTGTGTAGTGGATTGAACTATGTCCCCCCCAAGACTACTGAAGTTTGAATTGTCTCCCAAGTTTTATGCATTAGAAACTTAGCCCCCACTGTGACTGTTAAGAGTGTGAGAAATCCTATCATGGTAATTAAAAGGTGGAGCCTTGAAGAGGTGATTGGATTGTAGGACCGTGCAGTAGTGAATGGATTAAAAATAGTGGTCAGGGGTGTGGTTCTGAGGGCTTTAAAAGAAGAGGAGAATCTGTCTCTCTCTCTTTGCTCTGTCTGCATCCACCATTGTGCAATGTTTGGGTCACTGTCACCACCACCAGATGGACTTTGGACTTCCCAGCCTCAGAAAATATAAGCAATAAATTTTGTTTTCTTTATAAATCACCCAGTTCGGTGTACTTTGTGATAAGCAACAAAAACTGACTAATACAGTGTGTGTGAGTGTGAATGTTTGTATGTGAGTGTGTGAGTGTGCGTGAGTGTGAATGTTTGTATGTGAGTGTGTGAGTGTGCATGAGTGTGTATGTGCGTGTTGGGATGGGGGAGGCAGCCCAAGATCAGGCTCTGGTAGAACCGGGACTCTGCTGTGCTGAATCTCAGCCTGACTCATCCGGGTCGCAGGAGGAGCAGAAGGAGGGTGGGCTGGGGGTCGGGAGACCATCCATGTGGCCGTCCATGTGCTACACTCTGGTGTCCTGGTAGGGGCATGGGGCCAAAGCCAATCCTCTGACAAAAAGAAGCAAGCCCTTATCTCTGGGTCAAAGTCTCCAGCTCACCCGTGAGTAAGCACTACCCTGAGAGCGGGGCAGGAAAATAGACTCGAGGACTAGGCAGGACTGCAGACCCTTTCTGGCTGGAAGTGGCCTCTGCTGCCCACCCTTCCTCGCCAGCAACATTCCTTCACCCCTTAACCCCCCCAGTGCCCTGCTGCCACCATTCTCACAGAGGCCAGCAAAGACCCAGGCATTGATCCCTGATTCTCTGCAGCACTGGACTCTGTGGGCCTCCCTCCCAGACCCCCAGCACCCACCTCCTTGTCCTCATTCCTCTCGAACCATCCCCTCCCCATCCTCTCGTCCACCAAATGCTCCTGCCCTCCAAGGCCTCCGCTGTCCTCCCCCAAAATCACTCTCTCTGGGTCATCTCCTCTGCTCCTTGGATCAGTCACCTAGGGGTCTGGTGACATCTGTTATGGGCTGAGTTGTGTCCACCCAAATTCCTGTGTTGAAGTCCTAGCCCCCAGGACCTCAGAATGCATCTGTATTTGGAGGCAGGGTCTTTAAAGAGCTGATTAAGGTAAAATGAAGCCATAAGGGTGGGCCCTGATCCAAAATGATTGGGATCCTAATAAGAAGAGATTAGGACACAGACAGGCACAGAGAGACAACCACATGAGGACACGGGAGAAAACACTGTCTACACGCCAAGGAGAGAGGCCTCAGGAGAGACCAGCCCCTCCACACCTTGTCTCCAGCTTCCAGTATCTGGATGGTGAGAGAGTAAATGTCTGCTGCAGAAGCCGCCCCATCTGTGTACTTGTTACAGCAGCCTGAGTGGACTGACACACCCCAGTCTGTACCTCCAGCCCCGGCTCTGCCCAAGTCTCTGCCCGTAAAGCCAACCGCCCTGACATCCCTGCTTGAGACCCCTCCAAATGCTGCCCACACCTGCTGAGCCTCCTAGGGTCCCCACCTTTGCTGTGGCCCCACTGTCCCTGACGCCTCCCCCTCCTCCCTTGCCCCCATGCTCAGCGGCCAAGTCCTATTGTTCCTCATCTAAGCCTTCGGGTGTCTCCCAGACTGTGCCCTCTGTTCCTGCCTCTTCCAAACCTCCTGCCCACGTTGCTGACCTTGGCCATCTCTGCCAGGCCTCTTTGGACCTGATGGCTGAGGTGGACTGTTTCTCTAGTGCCTGGCCAGGCCATCTTCACTGGACACTGTCTTCAGCTTCAAACCCAAGCTCTAAACCCATGAACTTCCATTAACCACATCAGCGAATGTGCTTAACATCAGAGCAGGGACCAAGGGGGCTGCCCTGAGACCTCCCGCTGTGCATCATCTCTGCAATGTCCCGTCTGTTAAACACCCTTTAACTGAGACGGGCTGGTGTGCTTGCTTCAGAGGCAGCAGGGATAGAAAAGTTGAGGATCTTTTATCTCCTCTGTAGTTAGTCCAGGGCAGGAGGACTCTGTGGGGCAGAGAGGATGGCGGTCGCTGCTAGGAGGAGAGATGCAGGCTGTCGGAGAGAAGAAAGGGGCACCTGGGCTGCCCAGCATAGGCTGAGAAGGATTCCTGGGCTGCACCTCAGTGGCGTACCTGCCACATCCTGGTGCGTGGTGGAATGGAGTGGTCACCCAGGAGTAGCAGAGAAGCGCCAAGGACAGCAGCAGCTCTTCTGTCCTCACGGTGGGAGCTCACCGTGCTGTTGCGTGGCCCCAGGGGCTCACCTCCACGATAGCTCTCAATCAGCCTGCCTGGCACTGGGCAGAGCGTAGAATGCTTTTAAAACACTGCTTGGCATGAACAAGTGGCCTACATGGGCCCCTTAGCACTTGTCTGGGGACTGGGGTTGGCCGAGGCAGGCCCAAGGGGGCGCCAAAGGCTTCAGAGTCTTCAACAGCTGCAGGAGGAATTGTGTGGACCAGTGGGCATCCAGCATCCCTTCCTTGTTCTGGTGTCCTCCTCCCTGCCCCTGCCGTCCTGGGGCCCTCTGGCCCAGCCACGCCCTGTCATGGCCAATCAATTCTAGGGAACGCCCTTGTCCTGAACTTGTCCTGCTCCTTGGGCCAAGGCATCAGGCAGCTCATTTGCTAAATGGCCCATGCAGGCTCAGCACTGGTACCCCAGGGATCAATGCGGTGTCCCCTGGAGCTGTGAAGTCACTTTCTCAGCCACCATCTGGGAATTCTGGGGGAAGATTTCTGCCACGCTCATGCTTCTGAGTAGGGGGACTTCCAAATTTAAGGCTTTGGCTCTGTGCTTAATGGATTAGAAATTCTAGTGGGAAGGATTTTAGATGAGGTACTAGATAATCATAGTTTCCATTTATCCCCTCCTGGGTGCCACAGGAGCATGTTTTCATACAGAATGAGACACTTTGAATGCGTCATCTGATTTTTTTTAAATTTTTTATTTTATTTTGTCGATATACAATGTGGTTGATTATTGTGGCCCATCACCGAAACCTCCCTCCCTCTTCCCTCTCCCCCCTCCCACCCAACAATGTCCTTTCTGTTTGCTTGTCGTATCAACTTCAAGTAATTGTAGTTGTTATATCTTCTTCCCTCCCCGGGATTTTTTTTTTTTGTGTGTGTGTGTGTGTGTGTGAATTT